GGGGCTGGCAGAGATGGGACACTGTAGCAGTTTAGATTTTTTACAGATCTTTGGCATGTTACTCACAGTGTGTGTGTGTGTGTGTGTGTGTGTGTGTGTGTGTGTGTGTGTGTGTGTGTGTGTGTGTGTCTGCTGGCTCTTTTTCAGTTCAGTCTAGCCCGCCAGCTTCAATTCTACTTCACTGGGGTTTGTGAAGTTAGTGTCTCACCCCATCCCTCCATTCTGTGCTCACGGCACCTTTCGTAAATCGGCCTCCTATACACCGGACCTCTCAGATCCTGGGTGCGAGGGGATCAAACACGGCCTCTGCAGCTGGCCGGCACTGACGGACTTGCTCACTCCCTGGCTGGCCTTTGAAAGCTTGCGCCAGGAAGCGTGCGTACCTGGGCCTCGGTAATGAGGGTTTTCTGAAATATCATGCGATCGATGTTTAATGGCTTCTATATTCGGTCTCAGTTGGAGTCCCTCTGTATTTAACCACATTGATTTGTTTCAAATGAGTTGCAGCGTGTATCAGCTGCCCCATGGGATAGTAATGGCACTTGGGCTTTCAAGGAACCTTCAAGTGAAGCAACACAAACAGCTGTGCTTGTTGGGGTGGGTGGGTTGCTGGCCCCTCCCACATTTTATGGACTAACGTTGGTTCTCTTCTTTTAGATTTGTCCATAATGCCCCCTCTGAACCATCCTCTGAGCTGCCTTCTAATGAATCTGAGGAGTGGTTTCTCTATAATCTTGTGTGGATTTCACCGGTTGTTTTACTGGGCAAATGTGGTGCTGAGTGTCTTCGCTGGAATTCACATCTGGAGACTCGCCCACCCCAGCCTGTGTTCCTATTAACGGCCTGATTAATCTCTGAAGGAATAGTCCATGCTGATCTTGCAACAAGAAACCAAATAAATGCAAAGTCGATAAATTGTTTTATACCGCCCCTTCCCAACATTGTTGGCCTGAAATGGCTTAACATCAACTGACTAGAAACAGATTTAGTAACAGATTGACGTGAAGATTGTGAAATTTACTGTCAGCTACTAAAGACAGTGGGAAAAATGTACGTCTAGGTGCTACTTAAAGGTACGTATCAGGGAGGTCAGTCTCTGGTTACGCAGCTCAGTGCTGACATCCGACACTCCTGGTCCCCACGCCCTCCGCGCTGAGTCTCCACGGCTCGACGTCGCTCAGAAAGGCACCGTAAAAAAAAAGGGTCCCAGAAATATCCCCTTCTCCTCGCCAATGCTGCGTGGCCCGAAGAACTTAGTTTTAGTAAATCTGGACCTGCCCACCCCTTCTCCACCCCAGAAGGCGAAGGAGCCCCCTGATATATATGTAGAAGAATATGTTCACATTTTGTTTATACAGCTTGTTTATTAAGCTTAAACAGCTTGGCAAGCAATCGCTGCAGTGGTTTGGTCCCCGAAGCACAGTGTAAAAAAGCTTCACATTTGGAGCAAAACAGTTCATCTGTGTTCTGGATGTGACTGCTATGAAACACCCAGCTTAGCCATTTGTATTGTGTTAAACCCCCTCATGTCCCATCATCCTCTCCTCTGGGGAGTGAGTGTGGGGTCTGCTGGGACCCTGCAGCATTTTTTCGGGGGTTAAGTCCCTTGCTGACGGGCCCGACAGAGATGTGGCTGCTCTGCCCAGCACGGGATTCGAACCAACAACCTTCCCATCACAGGCACGAATGCCCTATTCTACTATTGGCATCGAGTTAAAACTGTACCTTCCATCAGAATCTGACAAGAGTGCTTGAAAATGAAAACTTACATCTTTAAAAGGCTTCCAGCTCCAAGAGTGTGTGGAATCCTTATTCCTATATGAATTCCGATATAATTTTTAATGGCATAACGTCAACTGGCTTTTCCTACTAATGTTCTGCTAACTGCGGATAGGCAGGCTCATTTGCCTCCATTAATCTAAGATAAGCATTTCATCGCCACATTTTTTCATCATTTGGTCTGTGTCTTGATAAAGTAGCTTTGTCATCGTCAGGTCGAACTCGCATGTCTGCGTCTGGCAGTCTCCGATGGGGTTTCCGTCCCTGTTGGTTATTTTCCTGCTAGCCTAACTGCGCATAAGAAAAAACGTCAAACCAAATGCCTAAACGTTTATTATTTTGTTATTAAAGGTGGGTGGTGGGCAGATTGGAGCAGAAAGGGACCATCAAGCCCCTCTCTGGGTAGGGATTTGATATAGAGCCCCCACATTCTAACAAATATTTAAAGATAAAGATAATCTTTATTGTCATTGTCACTTGGACAACGAAATTGAAAATGCAATTCAACTCAATGTGAGGCATAAAAAGAGTAATAAAATATATTAAAAATATACAAATTGCACTGAATATTGCACTGAATACTGCATTAACTATACAGATTGCACTGAATATACAGACTGCACTGATGAAATAATATTTCATTATAATATAAATATAATATAATATAAATATGAATAATATTTCATGGATGAATTACCAACTGGTTAGATGGGTGAGGGTGTTTGTCAAACTTTCCAGTGTTTCCAGTGTGTCACAGTTCCTTAACTGCTGCTGTGGTGAGCGTAAACTCTTTTGAGCAATTTCGAGGTCAGAAATAACGCTTTCTAATCACGGCACTTTGCCATTTCCCTGATGTTGCGATGGTCATGTTTCAGTTGATGGGCAGGTCCACACCCTGCACGTGTTATGCTGAGAATTTTTTGTATTTTTTGTTAATTCAGCTGCCCCGTTTGAGGCCTTGCTCATTTCAGGTATGACATTCTGTCAGAGGGTATCTTCTTTCAGGATGACGAGGCAGTTTGGCTCATTGTCATTTTACGTTTTAATTTTTCAGTGGTTAACTGTGCATCTCTTGTCATTTTACATTAGGATAATACATAATTCATTATTCCTAAGCCTAGGTACAGAGAACATTCCTTTTCAAATCTTTTATTCCCAGAGCTCTGAATACCAGTCAACCCTCACTCCTCCCCCCAGAACAGTGTGGGGGGTGGGGGGGGGTGGTTAGGGGTGGCACAGTGATGCCTATAAACTATCCTCAGGGGAAGGGCTGTAAGACAAACTTCATACATAAAGTCACATAGACACAATGCTTCAGGCCTGTAGGGCACAGTTGCACAGGTATGTTTTACACAGGGCTACAGGCCTGTACAGTAGGACACAGTTGCACAGGTATGTTTTACACAGGGCTACAGGCCTGTACAGTAGGACACAGTTGCACAGGTATGTTTTACACAGGGCTACA